TGGCTCATGCAAGCTAGCTCAAGATGACAAAGCTTGAGCTTCTGGCGGTAAGGAGTCTGGTGAAGTCTTGTTCAACACCACCATTGCAGGCTTGTTAATGGTTTCACGGGCTGTGGGTGAGGGAAGCTTGGTGATATGTGAAGGCTTTTGGTGTGGGGCGCACTGCGAACCTGGTTTTGACAAGGTTGACTCCAAACCGTAGTTTCCACCAGCAACCATGGCTTCCTAGCATCATGAAAGACGAAGTGCATTTTGGGCTAGAATGGTGTTTTCTCCAGGGCTTGCATGTAACTCTCCTTTGCCCAAGTAAGGAGGGCGGCAGTTGCTTTCCGGAAAAGACAATTCATATAAGCTGCTGCTTCCCTGATCTTTACAGGGCTTTCACAGTGGTCATGCCAAAAAAGCTCATGAGCTCCAAACGAGACATTTCGGCATTTCGGCGCTGGCCAATCGAGGAGAGCATTTCCCAGCACATGTTGAACTTGCTGGTTGTGTCCCGAAAAGTTTTTGAGTTTCTGCTTTTTGCATCCCTCAACGGTCCTCTAAGAAACAGCTGAAAGCATGTTTGCGAGGATTTCAGGGAAGATTCGGTCTTAACATCAACACATTACTGGTAACCCCAACGCCCAAAAGGGGACAAAGGGGACCCTGTTGGACTGTTGGAGGATCCTGTCTGTTGGAGAATCCTTTTTTTTCGCGGTTGAGGTTGCCAAAATCCTTCTCAGTCATGTGGATCACCTGCCCAGCAGAGCACATTCGTATCCGTCCAAAGCCTAGCCCAGACGAAGCCCCATAGACAAAGCCCAAATGCTCCGTTCCAGTTACACTGTACGAAGATTCAAAATCACGGGGTGGGCCGGTTAGCCGTTTTGATTGGAGTATGTATCATAGACCCCTCCTACCCCCCTCTATGCTACCGCCCCTAAGTTCCCCCTCATTTAAGGAGAATTAGGCTTCATCAAGGTTCATTAAGGGTAACCTGTGGGGGTAATGTAAAGAGGGTAGTCGGGGAACCTATGATAAACCCCTAAACCCTGAACCATAA